TACAGAACACGGCTCTCATCCTGCAGTTCCACTGGATGACCTTCCCAGATCTCTTGGCCCACCATCCCCCCTCTGAAACATGCTGAATTTTGTCATTATTACCTTACTTTTCTGCACAGTTTTACCCCATACATGTGCTTATATGGAGTAAGGAATACAGAACACAGCTTTGCATGTTTTGAAATTTATATATTTTTTAATATATTTTATTGATTTTTTATAGAGAGGAAGGGAGAGGGATAGAGAGTTAGAAACATCGATGAGAGAGAAACATCGATCAGCTGCCTCCTGCACACCCCCTACTGGGGATGTGCCCGCAACCAAGGTACATGCCCTTCACCGGAATCGAACCTGGGACCCTTTAGTCCACAGGCCGACGCTCTATCCACTGAGCCAAACCAGTTAGGACTTGAAATTTATATTAATATTAGAGGGCCAGTGCACGAAATTCATCCATGGGTAGGTTCCCTAGGCCTGGCTGGCAATCAGGGTCAACCTGTGGGGTGACTGGTGGGGCAATTGGAGGGCCCCTGCTGGCCCCGCCTTGGCTGGCCTGGGGCCTTCGAGCTGGGGGCAGTCTTGCGTTGAGCATCTGCCCCGTGGTGGTCAGTGCGCGTCATAGCGACCGGTCGAACCACCAGTCATTCCACCGTTTGGTCAATTTGCATATTAGACTTTTATTATATAGGAAAATACATGAGCTTCCTTTGCAACTTGTGAGGCTGTAGTTTATGTATGGTGTGTGTGTGTGTGTGTGTGTGTGTGTGTGTGTTGTAGCAGTAATTCTCTTCTTTGCTATATTCTATAATATATATGTACCATGGAGTTCTGGTCAAGATGGCAAAGTAGGTAAACACTGTGCTTGCCTCCTCCCAGGACCACAGTTGTAGTTGTATTACAACTAAAATCTAGAACAATCAATGTGGAGAACCCTCTGAAGACTAGCTGAACAGAAGTCCTAAACTAAGGAGTAAGGAAGAAGCCACAATGAGACTGAATTAATAAGTAAATAAAATATAACATGATTTATTTATCTGGTCCCTTGCTGATGGATACTGGGTTGTTTCTAGGTCAGTGATGGCGAACCTATGACACGTGTGTCAGAGGTGACACGCGAACTCATTTTTTGGTTGATTTTTCTTTGTTAAATGGCATTTAAATATATAAAATAAATATCAAAAATATAAATCTTTGTTTTACTATGGTTGCAAATATCAAAAAATTTCTATATGTGACACGGCACCAGAGTTAAGTTAGGGTTTTTCAAAATGCTGACACGTCAAGCTCAAAAGGTTCGCCATCACTGTTCTACGTGGTTGTTGTTGTTTTTTGTTTTGCTCTAAGAAAAATGAGTGCTGTTAGGAGTTTAAATGCCCAAATCATCAGCAGTTTTAGTGAGTCCCAGAGGAATGCACTACTTGGTAGAGGTTATAAAGAGAAATATGATTGGGCATGTGTAAGATACACAGTTCACAGAATGAATCCCGACAAAGAACAGGTTAAAAGAAAGTAGACATCCCATCTCTCAGATCAGAGCTCATGGTTAGAGGTGGACAAGTAGTAGATGAAGAGCTGGGTTTATCCTACTTCTCCAGCCACACTGTGAAGCACTTTGGGTGCTATGTTATGAAATTCACACTTTAGTCTGATCTAACTATAATTAACCCTGGCTTATCCCAGAAAAGACTTAAGGAGATCTCATTCTGATTCAAGGCTAGTGCCTCTTAACCCTTTTTGGGGACACAGATCTCTAAAAATGTAATAGAAGTGATTACTCCCTCCCAAAGAAAATGCTTAAGACATTTTTTGTGTGTTTTTTTATTTTGCATATAATTTCAAGGGACCATCTTGACAGACACTCAGAAGTCAATCCACAGGCCCCAAGAAAAGAAACCAAACTAAAATGCAAGTGAGAATTAGGTAATACTAATGAGAGAAAAAATACCTAAAGACTTAAAGACTAGAATACAAAATTCTAACCACTTAACCAAATAGAAACAATAAAAGTTCATCAAAATGCAGCAGGCGACTGTGGTAAGGAGGTAACTAGACAATAAAAAATGCTGCCTAAGTGGGAGAAACTTGGAATATAATGGGATATTATTAAACAAAGCCATTTGTGTATGCACTCGGGTCTCAAAAATGTCAAGGCAGTAACATTTATCTGTGCCATGGAAAATATTCCCTCTGAGACCAGAAAGTGCTTAAATAAAACTGCTGCTACTCAGTTTTCAGATCTGGCACATTCCCTAAAGTACCCTTCACCCTCTTCTACTTTTTCATAAGGTATCTTATGGCAGGAACATTCCATCTGCAATCAACTATAATCCCTGTGAGCAGCAGTTTAGGCTAGCTTGCCAGCATAGAAGTCTTTTAATGCAGCGAACACATGTGGCTATAGCAAATTCATTTCATTTTTTCAACAATTCTAGGTTCAAAATGCATGCTCTCTCCCAACCTTAAGTCCAATGTGTGTGTGTTTTTTTAAAGCCATTAATACTTTATAAACATAGCAAGTGGCTCACTTAAAATCTCTCATTTAAAAAGCATCTGGATTGCTTATTAGTCAAATTACTAATAAATTGCCATGTAAAAAAACCCCAAAAAATATAAAAATTAGTAGAAAACCAAAAACGCCAAAAATCCTAGAGAAAAACGACTCTGATACAATTAGATAACTAGCTTTCCAAGAACAAACACCTTTCAAGGAACCACAATTACTCCAAGCCCTGAGCCATGACAAAGTAAGTATTTAGCTAGAAAACTAGCCCTACTTTTTCCAAGGCCAATTCAGCGAAAGAGCATTTTTGTTCAAGTAGATTAATGGTAATTTAAAAGTCAAATTTCTCCTGCTGAACATTGACATGCGAGAAGCAATCTACTATAGCCAGATGAAGGTGAGAAGTACCAATATCTAGTCATAGCACAAGTTCTAATAAGCTACAATTCTGAAAATTTCCCCAAACTTACTGGATGTTTAGTTTATAATTCGATTTATTCCTCAAGGTCTAGCTAAAATGCCCTATCATCTATGAATCTTACATGTGTCCTTTGCCAAACTCACATTTGCACTTTTTAAAAATCCTTTTTTTATGGCAATTATCACTTTCATTTACTTTGTATTGAGGTTATTTTATTATATCTTATCTCTCCTACCTTGAACTAAAAACTCCTTAAGGGCAAAGTCCTATGGTACATACAATTCTGTAATTCCCTATAGGCACACAATTTAGTAGACTCTCAAAGAGGAAGGGAAAGACAGAAAGGGCAGGGCAGAGCAAAGCCACTCAGCCTGTAGTCTAGAAAAGTTTTGGACAAAATATGATGGAAAAACCACTGGTAGTTCAGCACTTTGCTTAAGGTGGTCCACAGACTGGTTTTTATAGAACTAGTACAATATATCCAGGCCTACTTTAACCAAATTAGTAATTACTTTTAGTAATAAAAACCAGCCCTAGCCCGTTTGGCTCAGTAGATAGAGCATTGGCCTGTGGACAGAGGGGTCCTGGGTTCAATTTCGGACAAGGGCACATGCCCAGGTTGTGGGCTCAATCCCCAGTAGGGGATGTGCAGGAGGCAGCCAATCAATGATTCTCTCTCATCATTGATGTTTCTATCTCTCTCTCCCACTCCCTTCTTCTCTGAAATCAATAAAAATATTTAAAATAATAATAAATAAAAGCAGGCATTTCTTCTTTAATGTTTTATCGAAAGACATATCAAGCCCTAGCTGGTTTGGCTTGGTGGATAGATCATCGGCCTGTGGACTAAAGGGTCCTGGGTTCAATTCTGGTCAAGGGCACATGCCCGTGTGTGGGCTTGATCCCCAGTGTAGGGCATGCAGGAGACAGCCGATCAATGATTCTCTCTCATCATTGATGTTTCTATCTCTCTCTCCCTCTCTGAAATCAATAAAGATATATTAAAAAAAAGACATATCAATATTTTCAATGGTTCTGGAGAGATTTTTTTATGGGTTATAAGCAAAAATTGGTACATAAGACATAGCCTCACAAGTTTTAAATTTTATGGCCCTATCCTAAAAAGGTGGCCAACTAGAAATCTTATTTTCTTCTCCAGTTTGTTATCTACCACAAGTGAAAACATCTGAAATCTTTCATCCAGAGTGAATATCATATTTGGGTAATTTTACTTTTCTACCTTAAACTGAGATTATTTTCTATGCAATCAAAATAAGGCAAAAAAGAGAGCTATGTATCTTTAAAAAATGAGATCTAACACCTTTTTTTAAATTAGCCATCAATAATCTCTTAATGAGCTTTTAATACATCTGATTAAAAAAAACAGCAAAGTCAGAAAGTCAAGCAGACCCAGACCCATTTCTCATAACTACCCAGAACTAAAGAAAATGTTTTAATTTTACCACATACTCTAATAATTTTATTCTCTTGGACAGTCAATGGATTACTGTTCTTTTATATTCTGTTTAGTACTTACCACACCATTAAACATACATAAAGTAGATACTTGCTAATAAATACTAGTAAACCCTATTAACTTATTATGGATAGTCTTTCATGCTAAAGTCACTCATATATGGACTCTAACGAACAAAATAAACTGATGAACAAAATAGATCCAGAGACACAGAAGCATAGAACAGACTGCAGACTCTGAGGGAAGGCAGGGGAGAGTGGTGGTGGTGGGGGGTGATGATCAACCAAAGAACTTGTATGCATAACCCATGGACACAGACAATAGGGTGGTGAAGGCCTGGGGCAGAGGGCAGGGGCGGACTAGAAGGGGTCAATGGAGGGGAAAAAGGGGACATATATAACACTTTCAACAATAAATATTTTTTTAAAAGAAATGAAAATACAATTATTAAATTAAAATACAATTGTTAAATTAAAATAATAGTAAAGTATAAAGTGGTAAGTGGTAATACGCAAATATTCATGTATTCTGATCACAGCAAGAAGGGACGGAGGAAGAATAGAAAAGTGAAATATAACTGATAGAAAACAACATGTACTTACTAGTCGAGTTGCCTTGCATCTGAATGATGCACTTGGACTCTTTGCTGGTCTCTCGAGAATTGAAAGGCCGCACTCGAACAGCCACCTTCACTGAGGCTCCCGACATTCTGATGGTCTTGTTATATAATTGCAGTCCAGAAATAAAGAATCAAATCTTCTTTTGAAGTTATGTTCAAGTTTCCTTTGAAAATAAAAAAGTTCCATAGAAGGCAGTCAGAATTAAAGAAAGCTTGGGCTAACTTGAGCATATGAGCTACTTTCTTATATCTTAGGACTATTTTTGTTTCCATTTCTAAAAACCTCATTCCCTATAAGTCTTATATTCTCGACAGTAAATTATCCATTAGAAAATTAAGACTGAAATTTGTTTTCCTACTCCATTACCTCTTTACCATACCTAAAAAGTCCCTAACCTTAATTTAATAAAAAAATGTAACTGCAAAGTAACAGGCAATTAGCTTGCTCTGTTTTTCTTACACAAGTACATTCCCATCTGCAAAATGACTTAATACTTTAGAGAAATGCACTGAACTTTCTGTATACTTCAATTCTAGCTTGAAACATTCAGTTATATGATGTATAATTAAACAGCAAAGGACAAAGAGTTCCAGCTTGCTCCTTTAACTTCTATGTACTCAAAGATTTCCTTAACTTAGATCCTTTCATATGTATCTCATTTGACCCTCACAACCATTCTGTACAATAAGCAGAGAAGACTCCAAGAAACAGAGGAAAAAATGTGAATATTTTTCAGAGGAATGGTTTCCCTCTCAACAGAACAAAACAGACACCCTTCTGTGAAAAGAATCCATATAAGTAATTTCCACAAGAAAAAACCAAATCTCAATCCGTACTCTATCCCGTTAATCTTTTATGTATATAAAAGGCTAATAGGCAAACTGTCTCCTTGGGAGTTCAACGAGGAGACTGGGAATTCGATTGCTTGCTATGATGTGCGTTGATCACCAGGGGTTGGCGTGGAACAAAGGAAGGCCCCAGCCGGCAGCTGGCAGCCAGGGAAGGAAGGCCCTGGCTGGCAGCTGGAAGGCCCTGATCGGCCCTGATCGCCGGCCAGGCCTAGGGACCCTACCTGTGCACAAATTTTGTGCACCAGGCCTCTAGTATAAACATATTCAGGAACCAAACAAAAGAAAAATACTTTTGTGTGCAATTAGCAGGGAACCACAACAGAACTTAATTTAAATCTGACCAATTTTTTTCCACATAACTAAGTAGGAATGCTAACCTCGTTGCACAACTACAAAAGTTTTCCACAAGAAAAGGCATAAAAAAAATAAAGCTACTCTCTACTTCATTACCTATCTTATTTTCTCAACAGCATTATCACTATTTGGAAGTCTTGTTTTTTGAAACATGTCTGTTGTCCATCTCTCTCACACCACCATCAGAATGTTCACAGATCTTATTCACTAGCACTTAGAACAGTACCTGATGAAAGAACTCAGTAAATGTTTGTTGAAAGAATGAATTAATGAGTTAAATTTCCCAGTTGTAAAAGTTGTCTGTTCAAGTCCTTTGCCTGGTTTACTGACTTTTGTTTTTGTTCCAAATGATTACAGTATTTATTAATACTGATATTTTCATATTTGCCGAAATGCCTTTTCCAGTCCCTTTCCTACTTTATTTTACATTAAACATAGTTCTTTTTAAAAAAATATTTTTTTTTATTGATTTCAGAGAGGAAGGGAGAGGGAGAGACAGAAACATAATGATGAGAGAGAATTATTGACCAGCTGCCACACTGGGGATCAAGCCTGCAACCCAGGCATATGCCCTGACCAGAAATCAAACCATGACCACCTGGTTCATAGGTTGATGCTCAACCATTGAGCCACACTGGCCAGGCAGATAGTTCTTTTTTAATATATTGAACATTTATTGTGATCACATTTTTCAAATGAAAGCTTAGAGTTTTTAACCCTCCCAATCAATTTGGCATGATCTAAGTTAAGTACCATACTTTGCCAAGAGAGAATGAATGAAGCAGTCCGAAAAAGACAGAACACATTTCAACCTCTAGAGTCCATTTTGATACACAGCCATCATCTCAACATTTAACATGTCCCATTACTTTCTCCCCCAAACTAGCAATCTCTGCCAATCTTCCTATTTATATCTGGCCCCATACCATAAATCTTAAGAGTCATCTTTGTTTCCCTCTCTTTGAATTCTTTTATTAGTGTTAACATTATTAATGAAATGCCATATGAAAACTTTAAAAACTAATTTGCATTTTCTATCTCTTCCTTCCTCTCATTCCCATTGCCATTACCCCAATCTATGCCCTTACTACCTCATGCTTAGCATACTCGGAATAGCGGAACTGATCTTTGAGTTTTTAGGGGTTTCTCGGGTGTGTTTTTTTTTATGTTTTTATTTATTTCAGAGAGAGGAAGAAGGAAGGAGAGCGGTAGAAACATCAATGATGAAAATCACTGACCGGCTTCCCCCTGCGCCCCCAACTAAGGATCAAGCCTGCAACCCAGGCATGCGCCCTGACCAGGAATTAAACCCAGACCTCCTGGTTCTTGGGTCAACATTCAACCACTAAGCCACACCAGCCAGGCAAGATTTTAGTTTTAATTAGGGTTGATAAAATAGAATCGTACAAAGGTCTTTTGAAACACACATGGTGACAGAAGGAAACTAGACTTTGGGTGATGAACATACACATGTAGTATTATAAAGTTACACACCTGAAATTTATGTTATTAACCAATGTTACTCCAATAAATTTAATTTTAAAAAAAAGCAAATGAGCCTAAACTCCCCAGTGTTGAGATAGGCCCCAGGTATGGGTTGTTTAATTTCCCAAAGATTATGTTACAAATCTCCAGCTGAGAACCCTGCTTTAAGCAACTGTTTAACCCTGCTGTAATATTACTCTTTCCAAAGCATGACTTGCAATTTCACTTCCAAACTCAAATACTTTCTCTCATTTCCCAGTGCTTATAAAATCAAAATCAAAGTCAAGGTACTCTGTGTTCTAGTCAAGCTCCTTTACTATACCATCCATATTGTTCTTTCACTCCTCCTAACAATTTCTCCTACAATGGGCATATGAATTTTCATTTTTTCCTCTATTTGACAGTTTAGCTCCAGTCTTACCTCTTCTAAAATGGCTGCCCAAACGTTCCAGGAATCACTGGTATTTCCTGCAGCATTTATAGCCCCCAACACATTGTGAGAACACTGCTATCATTTTACATAACTGCATTCTACCTTGTATTGTTCTTTAAGAGCTTCCCAAAGTAAAAATGCTATTTTCTCAAAAATCTCTTTGAACTTGGGCTTCTTGAAAAAATGGCTATTTCCAAGTCTAGGCAAGAAATTTCAAGATGATTCTGGAACATGTTAGTATGATCATAAGCAAGAAATCTGTCAAAGATGAATAAGATCATGGCAAAGGGACACAGATGCCAACTTAAAGGGACTCCAAAGATGGGATAATTAAAATATAAAAATACATATATACATAGTACAAATAGAGTGAAAAACATCAAATATATAAATTCATGAGTTTATAATACCTTAAAAAACCTCATTATTCTGAAGACCGGCAAATAAAATAATTGGGTACATATCCAATTTGTATATCCTGTATAAATTATATTCCAGCCCGGTCGGTGTGGCTCAGTGGTTGAACACTGACCTATGAACAGGAAGTCATGGTTCAATTGCCGGTCAGGGCACGTACCTGGTTGTGGGCTCGATCCCCAGTGTGGGATGTGCAGCAGGCAGCTGATCAATGATTCTCTCTCATCATTGATGTTTCTATCTCTCTCTCCCTCTCCCTTCCTCTCTGAAATCAATAAAAATATATTTTTTAAAAAACAAAACTATATTCCAGAATAGCCAGAGTCAATGTGGGCAACTTCTTCTTCAAAGAAAAATGCCAGCTAATAAATGCAAAAGAAATGACAGAATTAGGATGTCACCATTTTCTAACCTTACTGATATAAAGGCTCTCTGCAACAATCATCACTAGCTGCTAAAAAGCCTTAGATGAAAGTCTGGTTGATGTGGGAACATTACAGTATATGCATTAGGCGACAACATCTGAATCAAACTGAACATTATTAAAAGTGGGACACCTAGGTGGGTTATGCTCCATGTGCTACAACAGGAAACCCAGCAAAACCTATTAAGTACTTTTATCCCAAACCCTTAAAAAAAAAACTGAATAGAATCAAGCTTCAGATCTAACTACCAGTTTACAGAACATAAAGGAAGCAAAGAAGTAATTTAAATGACACCTAAAAGATACAATCAGCCAAAGCCAAAATATAGAAAAAATCTACAGGTCAACTCACCCAGTTTCTTCAAATAAATGGAAGAGGGGGAATAATTAAAGAGACTAGTGTTAGTTGTCAACCAAATGCAGTGATTTTTTAATCAAGAAAATCTGTAAAAAGATGTTTTTTATATAATCATAGAAGTCTAAACATAGACTGGGTATCAGATGATATTAAGGAATTGCAAATAAACAAAAGCTGAAACCTCCTTGCTGGGTTTTAGCTATAAAGTACATATTCATTTGCAACTAGGAAGCAAAACACTAAGATATGTAATATTCTAATGTCCCCATACATATACTTCTCAAAACACTGTTTGACTCCTCTACCTAGCTTTCCTGCCAGCATTTCATTCTACATAACACAACCAAAGTCAAAGTATCCCTCCACCTCCCTGGAACAACACAGGCTCTTCCATTTCTTTTCTATTTCTTTTACTGTTCTCACCATCCCCCTGTTCCCACACAGGTCAAACAGCTGTTTCCGCTATCCATCTAATCAACTGCCAAATCACCTATTTCTACCACCACTTTCCCTCGTAGGGCTTCAATACTTCTCACCCAAGACTGTTAACTTTCTTAACCACTTTCTTTCTTACTCCTACCCAAGCGTACTACACAATACTGCCATTTTCATTGACTCCATCCATACTACACAATATTGCTAGATTCATCTTCCTGAAGTACAAGTCTGTTCATATAACTATCCACTTAAAGATCCTCAAAGCTTCTCTACTGTTGACCAAGCAATGATGGAACTGCCCGCAGTGGCATTCGATGTGTTCTGCAACATAAACCACCTATTTTTCCTAGCCCACAAAACACTGCCTTACATCCACATTCCTTAACAATCTCTCACCAGAGGG